TACATATATAGTTAAGAAATCATAACAATAAATAATGATTTAACCAAACTCTAACAAGCTGGAAGAAAACAACGTTACTTCCCTTGATACCCCCCGCAAGCTGGTGTATGGATATCATGCAAGCATAGCTTGAGAGATAAAGAAAAAAAAATGGAGAAGGGGAAAGAGGCTTAGATGTCAGCGAGCTGGTCACGAGAATGAGTAGATAGTAAGTGAATATAAGCTTGAGCTTTGCCATGGACAAGATGGCAATCAATTTCAATATGTTTCGTTGGTTCATGAAAAGAAGGATTAGCAGCAGCAATTTGAAGGGTAGGTTGGCTTTCACAAAACAATAACGCAGGCTTAGGATGAGCAATATGAAGATCCTGAAATAGGTAGAGAAGCCGCTAATCTCACAAGTAATCGAAAACAAAACACAACATTCTAGCTTCGAGGAGGAATGAGAAACTGTACTTTGCTTCTTGCAACGCTAAGAAACCAAGGTATGATCAAGATAAACAGCAAAATCAGTAATGGAACGTCTAGAGTCAACAGACCCAGCCCAATCAAAATCATTAAAACTTTTCTATTAATATTAGATGAAGAGGGAAAGAAAAGACCTTTCCCATGAGAACTTTTGATGTAATAAAGCACACGGTGAGCAACTTTGAGATGCTGAGTAGTGGGACAAGAGGTAAATTGATTGAGTTGCTGCACAGAAAATGACAAATATGGTCGAGTGGTAGTAAGGTACAGAAGACAACCAATAAGACATTTTTAAGAACCAGGGTCAGTTGGATTTTTTGGATGGGAGAAATTGAACAATAGCAAGAGAGACGAGTTATGTCTGAACAAATATGGTTAATGGCGATCAGCAATTCAGAAAAGAGACTGACCTTGAGGAGAGGATGATGGGACGATATAGGTGTAGTAGAAACATGATTTAAGGAATTAGATGAAGAAGGTTGTGATTGAACCAAGCGTAATAGTTAGTTCTGCTGAGCTGCTAGAGGTGGAGTAGGAAGAATTCCTTTATTGATCTCAATCTCAGGCTTATCACTAGCAACAAATACATTATGAACGAAGGAAGATGAATTGCAAAATTTAAAGCTTGGTGGATAGCCATGTTTCTTGTAACATGTTCTAATTAACAATATGAATCGGCTTCCTACAATAGGAGTAAACCTTGTTCTAAGCTCGAGATTTAGAAGACGGCGAAGAAGGGTGTGGAGATCCTTTTGCTACCATGAAAGCTTTTTGATCTAGGGCATGATATGAGATTTAGACGTTGAAAGACAATCATTAAGGCTTTTGAGATATTGGATCACGAATCCTAATCCTGATAAGCATGAGCATAGGTATTGGCACCACAAGAACAATTAGGAGTGCACGAACATGTCTTAGCTGATCGAAGATTAACAAACTCATCCCAAAGTACCTTTAGCTTTGCAAACTATTCACCAACAGATAAATCTTATTGCCTAATGGTGTATATCTCTTCCTGAAGTTTATCTATGAGAAACACATATCGCCTTGAAAGAAGCGATCATAGAGATCGTTCCAGATGTTAGGAGCACAGTCAATCCACATAATAGTTTGAGCAATATTTGGAGAAATGAGCGAGTAATCCGGGCTTGGACCATCATATCACATCGTTCCCAAGCATAATGAAGAGGTTATATTGGTACCAGTGGAGGAAGAGATCCCGTTGACAAACTTTAATTTATTTTGGAGAGGGGCGCCATTCGCATCTCACGCATGCCCGTGAATGATGGCTGGATCCATTTAGAAGAGGAGTAACCAGCGCAACGGATGGATTCTCGTTGGGATGCAGAAAGTATAGGCTAGCCAGATTAAGTGATGGATAAGAGAAAGTTGGCATCAACGAGGGACCAAAAGATTGTGCAGAACTGACACTTGAAGTACTCACGGTGAAGTAAGAAAGAAATGGCGATACGAACGAGGCAGCAACAATGTAAGAAAGAGAAATGGCAGAAAAGGACAAGTAGAGGGCAATGGACCATCAGAGCGGCTGGTTTTGGACAGTTTTAGGCCGAACATGTTTGACAAACCTGGAATCCAAGATAGTTGGATTGTTTTGTTTACCCTTTAATCTTGCTTTAGTAATAAGAATTTGGATTAAATGATAAGTTGGCTTCTAAACTATAGGTCAAAAGTAGAGCCCTTAATTCGGGCCAACCCGACGGACTAGCCCGAATTGGCCCGAAAAATTTTAGGGTCAGGCTTAGAAAAAAGGTATTTTTTTTATGTTCGGGCCTATTCGGACAGGCCCAAAAAAATTCGGGCCAAGCCCGATTGGGTTCAGGCTTGGCCCGAATACCCGAATAAAAAAATTATATTTTTTTAAAAAATATATAATATAATAGATATTAATTAATTCTTTAAGTTTTAGATCATTTTATACTAAATACCATATATTTGAGTCCTAGACATCATTTAAGTATTAAAAAAATATATTTTATATTTTTTATAAAATAAAATAATTAATTTAAAAGTAAAAAAATAATTAAAAATAATTTTAAAAATTAAATTCGGGTATTCGGGCCGTCCGAAGCCCGAAGGAATTCGAGCCGAGCTTGGCTATTCAGGCTTTTGAGGAGTCAGGCCTGTTCAGGTTCAGGCTTATTCGGGCCGGGCCTATTCGGGCCGAGCCCGAATAAGCCTGGCCTGCTCGAATTTTCGGCTCTAGTCAAAAGCGTGTAAGATCCTAAATTTACATTTAGTACAACATTTTTTTTCAATAAGGCCGCTACTTCAACAGAAGTTAATTTTAACTGTTAGTTAATTAAAAAGTGATAAGAAAGAAATTCAAAAATTATAAAAAAAAACTAAAAAATTACAATATAGTATCTACAAATTACAGAAAAGGTTTCAAAAAATTTTGATTGTTCAATTTTTTTTGGGCAAAATTTTTGAGGTTATTTTTTTTATTATTTTTTAGTCAACTAATGATGACTCTATATATTTTTATGTATTTTGAGGAGTTTTATTGATTAGTTGAAAAGTCATTTAGTTATTTTTGACTAATTATTTTATGTTTATAGTTTATTTTAGTATTGGTTCGCTTATCTTGTAACTATTTTTTATTTTTAGTTTGAGTTATTTTAATTTTAGGAACCATGTAAAAAGTTTGGAAGAAGTAGACGAGGAAAAATATGACGATTTCAATGAAGATTTTGGATTTTAATGATCTCTCACTATAGTCGGTTAGTATTATAAGACAAATTTTGAACCGGAAACAAATCTAGCTGTAGCCGATTTCACACTAGAGACAACAAGGGGAAGAAAACTCACAGCAGAACTTCACAACAATGGTGGACAGAGCTGTCGCACCTGTCAACGACAGCGAGCTGACTAGCAGAGAAGGAAGAAGAAGAACTGACAGCAACCAACGCAAGCAAATGTGCAAGGGTTGAACTGAATGACAGCAGAGCAAGGAAGAGGAGAACCTCACGGCAGCAGGGACGGACGACGCTCTCTAGCACACTCACGCCGGAGACGTTGAAGACTAAAGAGGAATGATGGAGAACACCAGTTGAATTGAAGAAGAGTTAAGGCTGAAGGTTCTGGAATATCAGATCTCTCTCGTTCCCTCAGCTCCTGTAAAAAACACAAAAATTGGATTGGGGAGGAAGAAATAAATCTGGTGGGCCAAGGATCTTAAAGTAATTTTATAAAAGTTAAAAAGTCAAAAGAAAATAATACCACTCTTGCCTTTGTAGGAATCTGGCACCTTAGTCTTCATCTCAAAGATACTTGCCACTATGATTTTGTCCCAAAATATATAAAAACATATTTAATTTACATTATTGGATTATTATTTTTTAAAATTGACCCAATTTTAAATTTAAAAGAAAATATTTGATGGTTATTTTAAAATAATAGTCAAGTAAAGTCACTCTTATTTAATAGTTAATAACTATTAAGTAAGGGAGCTTTTAATATATGACGCCACCCTACTTTACGGTTAATAACTGTTAAATAAGACAAAAAATAATTGTCAAATAAAGATTTTTTATAGTAGTGAGATCTGTATAAGTATTTAAATGAAGGTAAAATTTAAAAGAAAAAGCATAATTAATAATTCGTAGTGTACATTATGTTAAAGACTAAAAAAATGTTTATCACTAGGATTCTTGCAACCAAAAGGCCTTTAAAAGTTATTAGCCTCCTCTTCATCTTCCATGCTCATCACTCTCACCATCTCTATGGTGTTTTCTTTTTTCATTTACAAAATAGCAAACAATTTGCTTTTCACCTGGCTCTTAGCTAAATCCATACATTATTTTTAGACTAACACTACAAAGAAAAATGATGTTATGAAATGATGAAGTAGACTTTAAAAAAAAATACTCATCATTATTTAAAAAATTTTAAATAAAGTGCATGGGCTTATGTCTCTATACAACACAAGCAGATCATTTTTTTTCTAACTCATAACTATTCTCTTATTGGAGATAATCCTATTAGAGAAACTATCAAATACTAAATATGGACATATCTTTTATTGGGGATTTGATCATTGTTTCGTTATATTATGAGGATAAGCCCCTTCAGCTAGACCCAACTCTAATTGATAAATAAATCCTCTAATTGATAAATAAATCTTATTAAACAAAAGCAAGTGGAAAATTCTTTTAATTAGTGAAAACATAGTGAAATCATCATATTCAAATTAAATAAATGAAAATCCCTCAAGATGATGGATAAGAATTTAATTTGTCAAAAAAGGTCTCCAAAATAATTTTTTGGTTATACCGTATTACTCTCCCCTGTTTCTGCCATATTACCTAATAGCTTCTGGAGATACTTAGGTGTGGAAGATATAGCCGTTTGGTTAGTTGGAATCTAATGAAATCAAATGGATAGGAATATTAATCAAGATCTCTCATCATAAACCATAGCCGCCAAAAAAAAAAAAAAACGAGGAGGGCGAGAGTTACCTTATCAAAAGACAAAAGCCCATTAAACTGTGCTTGTAATATTCAAGAAGCTGGTTGTTCACAAGGAATATAAGTTCTATCATCACAGTCAATACAATCCAAAACAATGATCCACACATTCATAATCATCCACACTATACCACTCGAAAATTCCCCACTTGGATTACCAGATACACTGTTTTACAGGCCTTGCTTAAAATTTCAGAATTTGAAATCACCAGGTTTTTTTACAATAAAAACACAACTTTCTAACTAGTAACATCCCCATGCATATGATAATTACTGCTTTCTTTTCGCTCCTGCCATCTGCTCTTTCCCTTATCATATGCTCTCCATCAAATGATTCGTGGTGCTGCAATGTTTTCATTCTGCTTATGAACACTAATTCACACTTCAACATACACATCTTTTTTAACAAATCAAATAAAGCAGAGAAGTTACTGCATGCTCTCAACCGAACCTTTTCAAACTCAGAATTTTGATTGATCTCAAGAGTATATAATTTTAAAGGGAACATAACAATCCATATTATTTTAACAATGGGGAACTTTCCATGGAATTCACATGTTGTTCTGTTTTCATTTTGTGTTAAATTAATGATATTTATCAGCAGCATTGAAGGAAAAAAATGTTTTTGGGCACATAGGATAAATTTCTGTTAAAAATAGAAATGATGCATTTCTATTTTCTTAAAGTGAATTATAATTATTAAAATTTTGAAGTTAATTATAAGCTTATTGAAGTAAGTTTTGGGAACAGAAAAGCTGATGTCAAGACGACTAAATAAAATTAACAAGTAACTCTTTTTACCACCAAAAAAAAAAATTAACAAGTAACTCTATGAAGTGAGAGGTAACCAAACATTTGCTACGCGTAATTTTTGTAATATTTGATCCATTCGTAATTTTTTAACACATGATCCATTTACGTATATATATAGTAATAGACTAACAGTGATTATAAAGGAATAAGGAAATTGTGGGAGCATGATAAATATATACCTGTGCTTTCTATGGAAGTGGGTTCCTCAAAGGAAAAGTCAAATTTTGGGCATTCATTTATCTGGACATCAACAAGGTATGGAGCATTTAAGTTGAGTCCTTTGCAGAAGTGAGCGAGGCTTGGCAATTTTGAAAGTTTCAACGAGTAGAGATTTGAAAACACAATATGTTGTGTAGTGACAGTGTCTTCATCACCATTATAATTATGCGAAAAGAGCTCCTCCATTTGTGCAGCTTTTGATACCTCTATGAGACTTAGTTCTGGAAGAAGCATTGCAATTGTAGGTGTCCTGAAAAGGCATTTCAACTTGTGGCACCCCTCCACTGTTATCCACCGCAATTTTGGGAAAGAAATGTGGGATACATGCTGAGCTTCTTCCAACTCTTGCATGATTTCCTCTACTTCCTCACATTCTCTAATTTCCAACTGTGTCAGATGTTGAAGGCTTCCCCAAACAGAGGAGGAGAAGATGCATTTCAGTTTTCCACATCCATGCACTGTTAAAAATCTAAGATATTGGAAGCTTGAATTTTGGGAGGGAGTACTGAAAGCCCTGCATATGAAGCTTAGCTCACTTAATTTTTGTAACCCTAATTTCATTAAAGTCAAATATTCTGGGAAGAAATATGGGAGTTGATCAAGCATTTGACTGTCGTTGTTCCCACGAGGCTCTGCGTCCTATGGGAAACACGAATGAAGCTCATTAATGAACTAACGAAGGAAAGGGAGCCTAAACACATTTAACAATTAAACATTACTATAATGATTAATTTTGATCACATATATTTATTGTTCAAGTGTTTGATACTGGGTAGAAGTGGTTCCAGGCTCTAACATGCTACGATAAGTGTTCAAGCACCATTCATTTTCATTTTTGACATCCATGTGAAGCAAACAAAACCAACATGAAGAATCCAACTTACCTTTCTCTTTATTTGAGTGACTATGCTCCCAGTTGCCCCCATGATTGAAGAAAATTTTGGACATTCTTGCATCCTAATTTGTTCAAGGTTCACAGCGTATAACTTGAACCCATTGCAGACATCAACAAGACTTGGCAATTTCACTAGATGTATGAATGTTAAGTTTGGAAGCGCGATTTCATTGACATTGTTACTGGTGTCTTCACTGCTGCATCTAAAAAGCTCCTCTAACTTTGCACATTCAGATATGTATATTGTCTCTAAATGGGGAAGCAATGGAGTGAGAGAGGAGATTGAGAAAAGATACTTGAGCTTGTTGCAATGCTCAACTCTGAGGTAATCCAATTTAGGAAAGCATGTTTGGAATTCATTATCCGCTCTCAGAATGTCCTCCAACTCCTCACACTTGCTTATCCTAAGATATTGTAACATTGGTAGGCTTCTTCCGTGGAAGCCCTCACCAAATAGAGATTTCAATTCCTTACATTCACTCAGTCTAAGGTCTTGAAGATGGACAAAGTTCGAAATCTGTAAAGGAGCTCTCCATGTCACCCATAGCTCAGGCTCACTTCCTAACCACAAGCGTTCTAGTTTTGAACCCAACAGCTGCATATACAAAGAGCCAACCCAACACCATAACAAAATCAACAAGTGCTCCTGGTTTCTTTTTTTCTATAAAATTTTAACATATTCATATGCGTGTATTAAAAAATTTTGATAACAAAATTGTTTGTACGATATTTTTTCTTTTAAAAAAATTAATAGGTGGAAATGCTCATTTTACTTCAGAAAAAAAATAATTTGGAATTAAAAATTGATCAATCAGTTGTTATAATGGTCGCATGGTTTGCTTAAAAAAAGGGAAGCAGCAAAACACAGGAAAATAAAATTGAATAATCATGTTGTACCTTTCTATAAAGCTACGGAATGTCGTCTACTTACCAGTTAAATCCTTTGACAAAAATTATATATTCAAATGCTGTTGAAAATTGATAATTCAACTGTTATTTTTTCCCACACGGTACAAGCACAGGAAAAAGAAATTAAATATTGTGTGAAGATGGTATCCAATTATCATTTTTTTCAGGTTTTTTTTATTACTTTTTATATAGTTGGAAGATGGGGTAAATTACAAATTTAATTTACATAAACTATAAAATAATTTAATTTAAATGTACAAGAAGAACAAATTGTTAAAAAAAAAGGAGTCGTTACCAAAATATAATTTCTAATTCAGTGCAACTGCGCTGCCAGGGTCCTTTTGTAATTTTCTTTCTGAAGTAATGATACCCCCATTCTTAAAAAAACTTCTAACTCAATATGTATGCATGAACTTATAAAAAAATATAAAATATTACAAATTGTTATCTAAATTTTAAATTACAAGTGTAAAGATTATGGAATAAAATAAGATATTATTTATATTTTTTTATCGGTACATGGATAAGAATTTTAAAATAAAACAAGTTTTTTTATTTTTTTAATATGCAATGGCAAAAGTTATAAATTTTGGAATAAAATATTCTGTTTAAAACTTTAAATTTTTAATATGTACAAGGTGTTGTTCTAAGATAAAATGTGTTGTTAAATATAATTTGTTATAATTATTTTTTATTAGTATAACTAAACATAAAATAATATCTATTTTTACAATCATTACAAAATAAATTTATTTTTAAAATCTCTAAACCACATAAAAATTATTTATTTATTAATTTTAAACAAATGGACCTTAAAAATTGTTATTTATATTCAAAATACAATGGGTGAGAAATTCTAAAATAAGAAAAATTGTTTATACAATGTGGAAGAACAAATTCTGAAATAAAAAAAAATATTGTGTTAGGTTGAAGGCAGATGGAAGGGAAGTAGTGAATATTTTAATGATTTAGATTAAAAATAAAATGAAAAAATGAGGTTAAAGTTTTTAATTGTGTTTCCTTGCTCCTTCCTCTTATATTTTTTTTCCTTCTATTTTTTCTATAAAAATTTTATAACTCTGCTTGTCAATTTTTTTTTTTAATTGGACTCCTTAAAATTTCTCCTCTTCCATTTTCCTTGAATCAAATAGAGAATTAATTGTCACATAAATATTTAGAAACAATTGAAAAATGGGTACATATATTAGAAAAACTATATATATATATATGAGTATAGTTGTTTTTAGGATTTTGAAACTCCAATTGGGAGTTAAATCAAATATTGATAGACACACACGTGCGACTCCTAATGATTCCACACACTAATAATTGAGATGTAAAAAAGGTGTAGCAAGAAAAGTAATATAAAGAAAGCAAAATGACCACAAAATATGTGAGTACCTGGAAAAGGTGATTGTTGGAAAAGGATAAACTGTAGCAAAAATCCTGGAGACTTGGCACTTGTTCCAAAGTTAAGGATTTCAAGTTGGGTAACACATTCTTTAAATGATTGTTCCAATCTATGGCTATTGAAAATAAGCATTTGAGCTTGCTACATCTCCAAACTTGAAGCTCTCTCAGATTTGGAAAGAATACTTGCACGGATTGAGCGTCCATTGGGCCTTGTTGTTGATCTCCTACGTCTATACCGCACATTATTTCCTCCAATTCATTGCAATCTGATATTTCAAGACGCTCCAATAGTTGTATACTTTTAAGAATTACAGGGGAGAAAATCATCTTCAAATTGTTGCACCCACTCACTGTAAATACTCTAAGATTTTGGAGGCTCACTGTTCCCATTGGACCACTCCAAACAAACTTTAGCTCTGGCATATTATCCAATCTCAGAGTGCCTAAGGGTGAGATCAAGTTGTTTTGGGAATTCGTTTCAGTAAAAACATCCCTTTCAAGTGGAAATAGAATGTCTTCAACACTACAACCCTTAACCTCAAGTTTCTCTAACTTTAGAAACGATAATGGAGCTGAAACCTTGCTGTATAACTGGTTGTCCTGTAATTATAACATTTAGCAAATCAAAATAAGATAGTCACCTTGCTTTTTTTGCATTATTTTCATAGATATTATAAATGTAACAAGGAAAATTCCTTCAAATAATACAATGGACTGCACATGGAAATACATACCATATTTATATTTGAACCAACCATAATGTTAACACATGAAGCTCTGAATTTTGGACATCTCACCCAACGCAATTTCCTCAAACATGGGCAACTCGAAAGATAGTTTTTTGGGAAAATGCTAATCAAATTTTTCAAGCCATGAAGTTCAAGTGATTTCAGAATAGGAAGCTCTATCTGAAACTCTTGATGTTCATCTTCATGTTGGCCAAAAGCATATTTTAGTTGAGAAGCCCCCTGAATGCACACCTCCTCTAACTGCACAAGGCCTTGAGCACAAGAGTTTGAGAATACATATTCTAACTTATGACAATCAAGGATGGTCAAACTTTTCAATTGTGAGAACGCCGAATGTGAATTGTTTGAAGCTGAAATTATTTGATTGATAGTACCATCACCATCCTCATCTATTATATTCTTCAATTCACCACAACTTTCTACAGTTAGCTTCTGTAACGCCAACACAGCTCTGGCAACACACTTTGGGAAGAGTGATGTTAACATAGGACAATGAGATACATGCAATTCTTGCAATTTCTCGAAGAAGAGAAGCAAAGGTGGACCGCAGCAAACTTTTTTCAAATTGCTCAAAGACTCCAACCTTAACTTAATTAGCTTTGGAAACAAAGTTTCTGCTTGAAACAAATCAACAATATGAGAAGTTGCATCAACAACACATTCTAAATTTGAAAAAGAATGAAGCCACAAGCTAATCAACTCATTCATCCTTCGAACACCCTGAACGATGTCTGGAACGATATTTTTGAAACCTCCATCAAGTTTATTTAAACAAACAGCTTCAGCTCGTTGTAAAAGATCCATAATAAATGGAGTTAAAGCAAAGATTTTTAATTCTCCCAAGGACAAAACCTTAGAGTGACAACCCGTTAAGGCTTTAGAATGTTGCCTATGAATTTCATGATAGTTCCCAATTTCAAGTTCATATCTCCGTAATATGGGAAAAGTGGCATTTTTGGAATAACATCCACCAAGTTTTAAAGTTGTTCTACTTAGTCGGATTTGTGAAGCATATAACTCTTCCAGATGTGTGCATCTCTCCACTATCTTAAAACTTTGCTCGTTGATCCAAGACAAAACCAACAACTTCAATTTTCTCAACTCTTCTAATCCTTGTGGAAGTTCCTTAAATGAACTTTCTTTCAAGTCAAGAACTTCAAGTCTTTTGAGGCCTAACACCCATGACAAATCATCACCTAATCGACAACATTGCAAGCGCAAAGTTTGTAGATTAGTTAGCAAATTCATAGAGTACGATAGTGATGAGAAGTCCACTGCTTCATGATATCTAGAGTTGATTTGCATTACCTTGAGTGATGCCATACCTCTAAAATTTGCTTCTGATAATTCACATGCACCTATGTTGTTAAACAACAAAATCTCAAGTTTTGGAGCATCTAATATTTGAGGAAATTGAGATGTTTGATTACACCAAGAAGTGAATGCATAACAATCTTTTATCGATTCATTTATAATTTCCACCTTCATATCCTTCTCAAGATTCACTAGAATAGTGCGATTTTCTTGGAATGATATCCACAATGCTACATCTCGAATTATGTCATGCATTCTCGAGTGGTCTTTCTTTCTCTCAGACCACATTAGCAAACAAGAATCTACAAGATTATTTATACATGCATTCACTTTATTTCTCACCTCTTCAAGTGAACGCAATTCTTCACACATGCCTAAACCAATTGCAATTCTAAACAAATCTTCAACAAAGATATCTGCATCTTCTGGATACATGGAGCACATCAAAAAGAGTGACTTGGCTTCATGGCTCTTCAAATAATCATAGCTCAACTTAAGACAAGAAAAGGCATCTCTAACACCTGGTTCCTCATCAATTGGTTTTGAAAACCTCAATCTTGCCAGTGCTTCATTCCATTCTTCTATAAACTTTTCTTTCAAAGAGGCTCCTACAGCTTGAATTGCAATAGGAAGCCCTTTACATTCCCCAACAATTTCTTGTGCCACACCATGTAATGATTTGTCTACAATACGAGCATGCTTTTTGAGCAATGTCCAAGATTCCTCTTCAGCTAAGAGATGCAATGGAATCTTCCTCTCACAATTCATCAAAATGCATACTCGCTGACGTCGAGTAGTAAGAAGGACCTTGCAGCCCACATGATAATCTTCAAAAGGAATACCAATATCCTTTAAATCAATCTTAGCCCACACATCATCTAATATCATGAGTATCCTTTCCCCACTACTCAATCTCATTGACAAACGTCTTGCTCTTCCAGCTTCACTTTGTTCTTTCAATTCCAAATCTAACATGTCTGCAATTTCATCTTGAATCCTTTTATTATCTGGATTTTGGGAGATGGTAGCAAGTATGACTCGATCAAAGAGCTTTGATTTTTTGGCCTCTTTGCCAACCTCTTTAACCAAGGTTGTTTTGCCGGAGCCTCCCATTCCATACAATCCAATCATGTGGGTACCGTCATCTTGGAGACCTGCCAAAAGTTCATCTGAAGCCAACTTTGTAGACTGGAAATACACAAAATTTCTAGAAGAAAAATACTCTATATCTGGAATTTCGCCAGGGACAGAAAAGGGATCAAAATTATTCCTTTCAACAAGTTGTTTTGTGTTTTCTATCTTCTTTGCGATCTGTTTTGCCCAAACAATATCTCTTCCAATAGCTAGTACACCTCCCATGAAAGCAATTGTTGTTTTCTTTCATTTGTTGTTCCAAGTTTTGCACCTCATCCATATGAATTTTCACTTCACCTAACCAATTCTCAACGGCATCATTAATTCTTTCAGCTTTAACCATTGCTTCTTGGCAACGATTCTGCACTTTGTATTGAGCTGATTCAAGATTTTGCTTCTCTGTTTCAAGAGTTTTTGTGATTTTGCCAGCACAGAACAAATATTTCCCTTGACGTACCACTGGATCTACCAAATATTCAGCAACTTTGGCAAAAACTGATATTACAATCTCTGCCATTTGAGCCAGCACAGCCTAAAGAGAACCATATATCTTCAAAAGTTACATTGCCAATTGTACGTGACTGAATCCCAGAAAACCTTAAAGATTTTCCATCTTTCAAAGAATCTAACATTAGAAAAGCATATCTCGTAATGATATACATGACCCAAAAAATTTAAAGAAGTTTATATGAAATTATTAAAAAAATCAAATAATATCTTTTCTTTTCTGATGAGGATCGAAAATTTTTCAAGATTTGTTTCTCGTGTATTCGGGAAAATATTATTATTCAATATTTGTTAGTGTAAGTAACCAATAAGAGTGTGTACATGGGCGCGCTTTCATGTACAATAAATATAATTTAATTGGCTTACAATAAATATATAAATTAACTAAAGCAAAACTTAACTAAAAGAAATCGAAATAATCTTTTTGAATTAAAATATCGTGCAGGATGGTTCTTAGGTTAAATTTATTATTAATAAATTATCACAAACAAACATTATTTGATAAAGTGAATTAACAAGGTTAAAGCAAAAAAAATATTTTTAGGGTTAATGTAATTTTTTCCTCAAACTACAAGTCTATAAACATCTAAAATTCTAAATTTTTTTACTGCAATGTTTCCTACAACATTTGAAAATAGTGTAATGTCACCATTGCCGTTAACAAATATTAATTTTGATTATTAATTGACCAAAAAAATTAATCTTCAAAAATTTCAAAAAAAAAAAGTTACAGATATGTATTATATAAGAATATTAATAAAAATTAAGTTTTCTAAATTACAAATATCAAGAAGTAAATTTTATTTTTTTCCATATAAAAGACCGAAATGCCATCTTAATCACTTACTTTGGTAGACTACCATTTTTAAAAAAATATATATTTATTTTAATAATATCTTATTAAAATATTAATAATTTATATATATATATATATATATATAATTAAAATATTATTATTTACTAGTATTCACACACAATTTATAAGTTAACTTTTAAAATTTACAAATTTTCCAAAAACTACAACTTAATTACTGTATCAATGATTTAAAAATGAATATGATGTTTTACAAATAGATATAGTTGAGTAGTTTAAGAAGAATTCATCTATAAATTTTGGAAGATGCAAAAGTTTCAAAAGTAATATTTTACCCGATCTATATGGTTGAGAAAGAAAAGCTACAAACAAGATCAGAGGAATACATGTTTAAAAAGAAGATACATGTTTTGGAATTGAATTTTCTTTTCTGTAATGGAGAGTAGAGAAGAAATTACTGTAGATCTGAACTATTAAATTGAATTTGAAAATTTAGATTTGATAGTTTTTAAAAATACAGATTTAATTTGAATGGTTCAAATTTACAGTGAAGGAAAAAAAAATAAAGGAGAGAAACCCACCCCTCTTTAAAAAGAAGAATTGAGATCTGTGAATTTTTGTGTAGTTTATTTGTTTAAAGGGAAAAAAAAAGAGTGAAAAGTGGTATGAGATCTATATTTAAATCCAGTTCAAACTCTCTCTCAAGCAGAAGAAGATTGAAAACTAAAAAGTGGTGTGAGATCAGTTAAAAAAAAAATGAGTTGGTTTGATAGCATAAAAAAAACCCTGAAAATACAGATTATGAGATGGAAAAGAAAGTCTGAACAAAAAATAAGCTTCTTTTTTCTTATTAAAGAACCCTCGGATAATTTGAACTCCGTTGTATGATTTTTGGTATCGGTATTGTTACATAACATAAAAAGTAAAAAAAATTAATTAAAAAAAGACATTAATTATTATATCTTTATTCTATAAGGATCAAATAAGATTTTAAAAAATTTGCAAGAAGGTTAAAACAATCTAACACTGGTCGTGAGAGAAAGTGAGACTCGAGCAAACAAGGCTAACTTTTGAGAAACAAGACAATATCTAGTGTTGGGATTGTTACGTTGGAATTAAAATTTTAGAGTCTACCAGGGTAACTGGTAAGGTTAAACATAACATTAAAACAAAACAATAAATAATAGAAATAGACTAACTTGAGACTTAGAAGTTGACGATAGAGAGACTACCAGAGACGTCGGACCAATTGATGAATCCAAGATCTGAACTGTCTCTGATGTCGCAGTCTGAAGGTTGTAAGAAAAACCCAGTTGAGCAATTTTGGAAGGGAAATGTACAGACAGCAAGTATAGCGTAAAGGTTTTGAAAATTGAAAATGGAACTCACCCAAACGAAGGAAAGAGAATGGAGAGGAAGATGAATGCGAGAAGCAGGATAATAGTTGCGATCCCTGTTGGACTGTGATTCTTCCAAATTAAATATATTTAACAAAAGTGTGAATCTCTTCTGCTTTGCTTTCCAACTATTTTTTCAATTATTCTTTGCTGTGTGTGTAGGTCCTTCTTATCGGGTTTATCCTGGGTGTGTGACTCAGATTTAATAGATTATTTTATATTTATTAAAATAAAAATTATATATATATATATATATATATATTGTCATCAATCAAGCCTATATTTATTTTAAAGGGTTCAATTTAATATTAAATTTTTTATAACTTTTATATATTAACTACTCACATTTATTTTATATAGTTTAGTTTAAAATTAATTTTTTATATTTTTATATTTTGACTACTCAAATATATTATGTACAGTCCAGATTTAATAAAAATATAACATTTTTTTGAAATATTTTTAAAAAAATTACAAGTTAAAAATTTTAAATTTAGACTATAAAAAGTATATTTGTGTAGTCAATATATAAAAATTTTAATATTAAATTAGATGCTATAAATTAAATCTAGACCCAATTGATAATAAAAAAATTATTATTATTTTTTAATAATTTTTATAAATTTTTATTTTAATAAATATAAAATAATTTATTAAATATAGATTATTTAAATTAAAATTTGAATGGTTCATATTTTTTTATCCAAATGAGCACCATCATAGAGGGCGACGATCACCCAAGATAGATTCCCTTCTTCTCTGCTATTCAAGCTTTGGTTTCTTTTCATTTGTCGTTTCCCCATGGTAAATTGGTGATGGTATAGCGATGATGCTTAACCCTCTTTTCGTCTTTCAACCTCTTGGATCATTCATTCCCGAAAAAGACACAAAGAAAGTAAGATGCAAAATTGAATGAGCTTCAACAATACCTTACATTTACGTTCTAACTATATATTCAAGAATCAAGATCCCTTGGCTTCCTTTCACTTTATTTATTGGGTCAACTGTGAGGAATAAATCTGAAATCCGACTTTTTCTTGGGGAGAGGATAAGCACCAAATTCGTGTCATGACTGCTGCACCTTTGGATATAATTAATTATATAAAAAAATTGATAAATATTATTGATTTTGATTATAAGTGATTATGTTATAATGTGATCATATTTAAATATTATTTTTTCTGAAATTAATTTTAACAGAATTGAAAATATTTAACTGATTTAGTGCGAATTAATTTTAAATGTATAAATTACCATAAATAATATTGCTTTTGAAAATTAAATTATTGATAAAGTTACATGTATTATTAAATTTTTTCAAATTTATTTAACAAGTAAAATATATTATTTAACTTATATACCTGATTTTTTTATAAAAATAAAAAAACTTATATATCTCATGAATTATATAAATCTAATTTATATTAATATTAATAATTTAATGTATGTAAAAAAATAAATCCATATATATATATAATAATAGACGATAAAGTTACGTTTTATATTATTAAGTTTGTTTTCATCTATTTTTTCAATATGTATAATAATATCTATTTATTATAAATATATTATAAGTTGGCCAAAAAAAAAAAAACAAGAAGGCTATCAGTATAATGAGGTACCAATAAGCCATACAAGGATCTGTTTGATATTTGAAAATTTTTGACACACCATTAAAGCTAAACGCAAATAATTGATTTGCAGAAGCTGGTGAAATGAGCTTCTTTGAAATGCAATTAAGAATGCAAGACATGATAATAATTAAAAAAAAAAGAGGGTGTTTGGGGATTTTTTTTTTTTAACAGAACTATGGTTAAAGCTTTCATAATTAATTTTCTTTTTGGGGTATCCAAACAGGTTCGAAAGTTTGTCTTGACGCCTGTAGGTAATGTCATTGTAGCATTTGTTTGTCTCTGATTTTAATAGTATTTTTCATTTAATTAAAAAAAACCAAGAAGGAAGTGGCCGTCTTAATTTAATTATTCCTCCGCGATGTTGTGCTATTTTTGCCAGTAACAAAGAGCAAAGGGTTGGAGGTTCTAATCTTTACAAGGGTATGCAGGCCAAAGAATAAAACCCTCCGACTAAGATTTTTTATATTTACAAGTGCTTGGAATCAAACATCCAATCATTTATTTAAGAAACGAGAATTTCACACCATTGTTATTAAACTCTTGAGTTGAATTTTCAACCTTATCATTTTTACATTTTTAACTTATAAAATTGTACTAACTCATTTATAAATTTAGATTAGATACAAACTCAATTAAACTCACAAGTTGACTTTTCAAATATACCAATTTTACGTTTTTAACTTATAAAATCATATTATCTTCATAAATTTAAATTAAATGTGAACTCAATTAAACTCAAATTAGGTGAGTTAAATGTGTAAAACTCAGCTCAGAGAAGTGATAGAATCCGATTCAAAGAAAAATAAAACTAAAAAAGTAAGGCCTAATATTAATTAAAAAAAGAAAAAAGGACAACCAAAAATAAGTTGTCTTATTTCAAAATTTTTATATTTGGTATGACAATATATCAATGAAAATGAATTTAATTTTAATAATTTATATTTAAAATATATTTAAATTAAATTATAATCATATTTTATATTTTAATTATTTAATCAAATATTTTTAATAAGATATTTATTAATAAAAATAAATTTTTATGAGTTTATAATTTAACTTTATGATTTGAATTTATATCCTCATCATCTGCTTATTTTAACTCTTAGCGAGTTTAATAACCCAGCTCACACCAATTTGAGTCGGTATCAACATATTTGTTAATAAATTTATTTTTCTTATGTTTTAGCGTGAACAATTATGGTTCTGAAAAAGTTGTAAATTATTATTTATTACACAAATTTGCTTTAGCAACTCATTTGGTCTAAACCACAGCCCCCCTAGGGTACATGAAAGACAAGGCCTCTTTTAATTGTGAATTATTTTTTTAATTTTTAAAAATAGTATAATTTAACTTGTTAGTGGCTAAAGTTAAAAATGACTGTCAGTTAAATCACGAAATGATAAAAAAAGACAAAAAATTACAAAAAAATTATCAAAAATTACAAACAATGATCCAAAAATTACGGAAAAGGACCAAATTTTTTTGGTCTTTTTATATAATTTTTGAGATCTTTTTATTCATTTCTAATAAATTAATGGTCAAGGTTAATTTTTGTTAATGATAGGGATTAGATTACATTATTTTTAAAAGTTGAGAGAATAATTTGCATGATAAATAATTTTAGAGTTTATGGTACCACTAAACCTAAAGTTCATAGGATAATTTAATTATTTAGCCAACATTAATCTAATATTAGGTCAAAGCTCACGGAATTCAAACTAACTAGTCATTAACCAAGGCACCGAGAGCTAACAAAACTGTCATTAACAACCAGTATTATATGTAAAGTTCTCTTAAAAATCACGTTTCAAACATATAAGAGAAATAATTATTTTTGAAATAAAATTTGCATTCTTAATATCAAACTCATATGAATTGTTTCAAGTATTAAAACTTGCCAAATTAATGCTTAAGAGCTAATATGCAATCTTGCATTAATTGTGTAGCCAAGAAATTTTGAAGTTCAATAAACAAAGATATTTTCATCAATATTAGAAATACATTTCTTGAGGAAAAATAAATGCATATAATATAATTTAATCATCCTTCATAATTATTTCATAATTTCCAAAACTAAAAACAATTCATAAAAATAAAATTAGTAAAAGACTATTAACGAATAATTAGATAGGATGTTATTCACTTATTCATCGAAGTTCTCAAAGATGTTCTTCCTTTAATTCGTGTTAAGGTCCTATTCTTCCACGCACCTTTTAGGGATATAAATAAATACATTTTTCAATAAATTTTTAACACAATTCCAAATCAAATATTACCATCTAAAATTTTAAAACTAAATTTATGCTTTAGAGATGGTCCCAGTATTATCATCTATATCACTGGTCTCCTCTAATTTGTCTTAACCATGCCAATCTATTTTTCTTGAGACATAACTTTTTCTCAGGCTTTGCACCAAATACCATAGGTGCATTATTTTTACCCATTCAATTTAAAACATCTGACAATTTATCAATAACCATATTAATCCCAAGAACCAATAAAATTTCAAAATATTCAAAAATAAAGTCTAATTCCTCTAACAAGCATTGTAACAAACATCCTATAGTCACTAATTTTAAATTTTACACCTAAGCTCTTCTCTTTCAAATTGATTCTAACAATTGCTCAAGATCAACCAATCCAATAAAATCAATTTACCTTAAATATTTTGAGCCATATATATATATATATATATATCATTATTAAGCCTCAAGATAGATTTTTCAGCTCAATTTGAATTTCTTTCTTCTCCTACATTCAACACGGGCAATAGAAAAATCAAAGAGAAATTTATAATCTTAACAATATCATCCCAACTACTCACACACACAGATTATACCAAGAGAAGGAGGAGGGATCAAAGCTTCTAACCTTAGATGAACCAACATGCACAAACAGAGAAAGAAGAAGGCAACTTCGAACAGTGAAGAAGGACGAACTGTTACCATGAATGAAGAAAAAGAGTGAGCATACTAGTGACGGCAAAACGACCAAGAGGAAAAAAATCTTAGCTCACCCAAAGCATTTACACGTACATGAAACAATGAGAAAGGAAAGACTAAGCATACTTGAAGTAATGACAAAGGCGAAGGATTAGCTGCGAAACAGGGGAAGAATTCATAACTGTGGCAAAAGAACTAGCAACAAGCACAACGTAAATAGCGACGCGACCAATGGTTGAGAAGGAAGAAGGTAGAGATCGGTAGGAGGCAGGGCAATGGTTTAGTCAGAGCTCTCAATCTCTCTCTAATCTAGAATAATCAAAAAAGGAAAGAAAGAAGGGTTAAAATCTATGATTGTGATAAGGGTAGTTTAGTAATTTCATAACATAAAAAAAATTAAGCCCCTTGGCCTAAACAAATGCGATCTTGTGACCTGATGAAAGCATACATGTTCAACTGCCACTACATTAGCTTTCGTTCTTGTCACATTCGTTCCAAAAATTATTATAACTACTATTAAAATACAAACTTATACATTTAAATTTTACTTAATTCCTGGATCATCACATTTATAGTCCACATAATAGCAGCTCATTGTTGAAAGTTTTGTTTTCTAAAACAATCATATGTTTCTACACCATCTTCCTACAATGTTTTAAGCTCTTCTATAAGAGGTTGCAAATACAAGTCTATATTTTGGCCAGGGCTCTTTGGCCTATGAATAACAAGAGTTAATAACATATAAGGGGTACTCATGCACATTCCTAATGAAAAGTTATATGGTGTGACAATTACTAACCAACAAGAATAAGTATGTGATATTTGCTCATAAGAACTAAAACCATCAAATGCAAGAGCTAATCGAGCATTGCGAGGTTCTGCAGCGAAAGAAGGATGGCATTGATTGAAATGGTTCCATGCCTCCCCATCACATAAATGGCTCATCACCCCTAACTCTCAATGAGTTGTTGCATGCCATGGCATGTGGTCAGATGTTTTTGATCACATGTATAGCTATTGTAGCCTAAGGGTAAGAGGCAAGTATCTTAAAACCTTATAAGGTATATTATGCTTTTACTTATCACATTTTTTTTTTAGGTTTATAACGAGGATGACCACATATTGGACAAGTGATTTTGTCTTTGTGTTCCTTGTAATAAATAATACAACCATTAACACACACATGTATTCTCTCATACCCTAGCCCAAGCTTACTCACTATCTATTTTGTCTTATATAAGTCATTTGGCAATTTTGCATCTTTGGGTAGAAGTTCTTTGATTAATTGCAAAATGCAATTAAAACAACTTTCACTCAAGTTAAATTTAGATTTGATGTTCAATAATATTGTTACCACAAACAATATAGAATGAGTTTTACGCCCATGAAAAGTTGACTCCTCTTCAACTTTTAACATTACATAAAACTTCTTAGCCTCACAATTAGGAAGCTCTCCATCATCTCTAAACATTTCATATCCAACAAATATGTCATCCTCATCAAATACATTTGGACAAAAACTAGGAACGGCAGCTTCTAAGACCATTCTATGATAAGGATCTACGATTGGCATACTACCATCACCTAGTTGAGAGCTACAATTGATATTGTATTCTTTTTTATCCATGGCTACATAAGGTTCTCCATGGGAAACTCATTGATAGTAATTAGGTACAAAACCATGCTTATAGAGATGAGTTCTGACAATATCCATATCAAGAAACTGTCTATTATAACACCTTAAACAAGGGCATCTTGTTATCAGAAACAAAGTTGTCTTGGCATATTGCAAATTCTAGGAACTCATCTACATCACTTATAAATTCTTTAGTTACCCTTTTTTTTACTTCGATCATTTCTATTATTCATCCAAATTCTATCAATCCTCATGCTCTATACATTATAAAAAGAAATAAAAAGAGTTCTTAAAGAGATTTAGGTAAACAAGGGATAGTAAAAAAAACAAAATACTAGCACAATAATAACACTAATAATTATAATCCTCTAAATAAAAACAAATTTTCCAATAATGAAACAATTAAAATCCACATTCAAGAGACTATGCTAGCTAAGATAATGCTAAGAATAATAAATTACCTAAAAGTAGGCACTTGCTCACAATATTGTCCCTATAATGAATCTAACAAGGAAGGCATTTTAAATGCGAAGTTATTAATGTCACCAAGAGGCATGCAGAGGCCGAAGAAGTTTAATGTATGTGGGGTTTATCTTCAATGCTTTCTTTTCAATTTAAAATTCAATTATAAATTAATGTCTTTTGCTTTTCTTTTTGGTTTGCTTTTGTTTCATCTTTTTTTTTTGTGGAACAATGAGAATGTACACTGTTGTGGGTTCCTTTTGTTTTTTGAGGATATAGACTCTTGCTGTGTTCAAGTGTCAAACTTTCTTTTTCTCAAGTCAAGGAGCCATTCATTCTCGAGCACTAATTTTTTTTCCTTTCCTTGTTATGTTTTTTTTAGGCTTATCAAAATAGATTTGATTGGACTGCTTCGTACCTTCTTTTAATTGTAAGAGATCCCCTTTTTTAGTTGTTTTCCCCCTGTTTTCAGCAGTAATGATTTTATATATAAATTAATGTGTGAGCTTCAATAACCTAGCCAAAGCTATTTTGGACAAACATTTGTCAGGAAACTAGCAGAGGACATGGTATAGAGCTCAATGGGAATCTAGTCTTGTCTTATGTTTGGCGATGTAGTTGTTCATCTAAAATGAGATGCTTCTTGGATATCAATGTCAATAGTTATGCAATTAGGTCTGAGTGTTTGTGAATATTTGAACCTTGGTTCTACACTTCTAACACTACTTCAAGCACACACTTAAAAGCTTTCTTTTGCAAATGCCCATCATTAAAATATCATCAGGCAACATCCATCTTCATTTTTTTTTAATTTTTTTATGTTTGGTGTGACATCAAATTGTTTTGATTTATAACCATTGTTTTACTTCCTAGTCTTTGTCTAACATGAATTTATTAAAGCTTGTCTACCGCAACACATAGAGTACTGTGCACATAATGAAACATCCTATTTAATTCTTTTTTTATATATTCACATCATATTTAATTCTATTACTTAGTCGTGTGTGTGTGTAATCAGGTTGTGATTCTATATAAAATTACAGTATGAACTATGACAGCTCATGAATCATAGAATCTTAGAGAAGCTAATGGGGAAAGTGATGAACAACTCACAAATTATATTCCATAACTTGTCCGTAGACGAAAAGAGAGACAGATTCCAGTAACTAGAGCAGATAAGCATTTCATTCAAGAAACGATTGAAGAAATGATTAAAGACAACAGGAGTAACAAACCATTTTGGCACCAAATCAATGGGTTTCTGTCACACCCTAAAAATAAGGCATGACCGGCATGGAATATAGAAACACAACTCATATTCTGAAAGCCTTAAGTTAAGAAATCCTAAGTTCTGAATCATAAATATATCTAACAACAAATCAAACTATTTTCAATATGAATAATAAAACAAAAGGTTGTATTTTATTTTATTTTTTTTTAAATGTCAACATGACCATTCTCAAAATAAGACTTCAAGATTTCTACAACAGTTTTTTCTTTTAATAACAAATAGCATTCAACAAGGAGCTATGCTCCTTCTACCAAACAAATCAAGTATAATACACATATAAGGGCTTTAACTATAGTTACGTGGAGCTCCTACAATAAAATTTACAAAATAAAATTTCATATTTAAATCTTTACAACAAAAGGAGGGTGGTCATTAACTTCTTCACTTCAAGTCAAAAGATGGCCCTCAATGATCAACTAGAAGTCCAAAGCCATTCACATTATCTGAGACAAAAAATACTTTTTCCAGTGAATAACATCCCAATAATAAACAATTAAACATGAATAAAAAGGCAAATTTGAAATAATTATGTAATTTAAATAGACAACAATTTCCATAAAAATTTAACAAAATTCAGAATAAAATAGCTCTATAAAATTTTAAATAAAATCTTAAACTATTACACTATCATAACAAATGTTATTATCACTTGGTTTCAAGAAAACACATAAATGAAATAAATGTTTGTAAAAATTTACTAAATAAAAACCAATAGAATATAAAATCACCAAATAATCAAATTCACAATTTTAGGGACTTATCAGAACAATAAACAAACGTGGACACACAGTCCACGAGAGTAAATAACCAAACGCAGCTGATGCCACCAACACAAACATGGACACACAATCTACGAGGGTAAATAACCAAACGCAGCTGAAGCCACGAAACAAACGTGAATACTATGCTCACGAATAACCATCCCTCCGTTCCACGTGCGTTGGCCATCGCACGGGACTAGCACCTCCTATAAGCACCCTGCTGGCTAGGTCTACCATGGCACGCCAAGCACTAACAGAACTGCCGTTAGCAACCAGTGTTCTATATAAAGTTCTCTTCAAATTCATTTTCAAACATGCGAGAAAATTATCACTTTCACAATAAAATTTTTATTTTCAAAGTCAAACTCGCATGAATCATTCTCTGTATCATTCCAATGTTCGATAGAATGAAATCTCAAATTCAAAGTCCAAACTTATATTTATTAATAATTAAAATTTCAAAACTGATAAAGGTAATTTCACAAAATAAAGAAGTTTAATAAACAAACTATTCAATAACCACATCATTGTTACTAAAACAATTTTGCAAACAAATGTACTATTGTAGTAAAGGAAATCTTTATTGAAAAATCAGTTGGAACGTTATCCACTTACCTGTAGAGTTCCCAAGTGTATAACTTACTTCGAAACAAATCTTCTAGGAACAATGCTTTGTCCTTAAATTCCTATTATTCAAGTAATACCATTGTCACTTCCTCAAACATGCTTTACTGTCCAAACTATTTAATCCAAAGCAACTTAGATAAATAACAGAAAGCAAACCTTCACTTTTATCTTTCTTAGTATGGCATCAAACATCTTAAAATATCCCAAATGAATGTCCATATAGCAATTTGGTTCTTGAATTACCAACTTAAATATCTCTCCCAAAAACCTTTAAATTCTACCTTAACTTTCATTGCAAAGAACAAATGTCTTTCAAGATTATTTAATCAACAATAATATAATTATCACATATATTTTGCCACTTTAAATACAAAATTCCTCTTTTCAAACATTTTATCAAATACCCTTTATTTTAAACAATATTAAGCCCATAAGACCAAGTGTTTTTTTTTTTTTTTTTTTTTTTTCTTTTCAATTCCTTTACTAAAAGTTGTCCTGAAATGACCAAGCTTCCAACTTCTATCAAAGAAAAGTGCCTTCCAAAAATTTTCTAAACAACAATAATTAAATTATTACACATGTTTAATCATCATGGGCCAACTCCTTCCAATAGCTATTTCATTGAATATCTCACAAACATCCAATCTTAACTAATACCAAGCTTCAATTCTTCCATTCATCCCAACAATTGTCCTCAAAATTCTCCAATATCCATATTTGAATTAGTCTAGTTTTCCCTAATTTCATTCATATATAAATTCAAATTAAACTCAAATAAAATTCAAGTCCATACTTCTTCATCGTCCTCAAAAGACTAATATGTCAACTTGCTTGAACTTCTCTCTCATTATTCGAACATGCAGAACAGCAAGGCTAGGGAAAAAAAACCACAATCTCCATCATTAAACACACACACAAACAGAACATACAAGTTAAAAAAACAGAGAGGGTCAAACGCACTTGAAGCAAGTCAAGATGAGGAATAAGAGACCCAATGACAAAGGCAAAAGAAGAACGGCGGTGGTGCAGGGGAAGAGACAGCCTCAATTTGAACCTCTTCCAACAACGAACTAACTTCCATAGTAAAACATTGAAGAACCCAGAGCATGCTAGCAACAGAGGAGGGAGAAGAACAGTGAGCTAAGGAAAGAAAAGAGGAAATCGACAGCATAAAGGCAAGAAGAACTCACGATTTGAGTGATGGACGGAGCTGCCGTATTTACCTACGGCAGCGGCGAGCTATGAAGAGGAGGAAGAGGGCGACAGATTTTCTCTTACTCTTCCCCAGTTCAGACATGAGCCAGCTCGAGAAAGTAAGGAGATCACTGGCGTCAGTCTCAAAGGAGGATGAAGAGGAAGACTCCAGCACTCACAATCACCGGCGACAGATCGGAAAGGAAGGTGGAGGGTGTACGAAGAATGGAGAGCAAATTTCTCTCCCTCCTCATTCTGAAGTAGTCGAGAAAATGGAGATGAGGAGCAAACAAAAGAATCAGCTGTTATATTTTTTAATTTATTTATTAATTAAAATTTTTTAAAAGGGCATTACAGTAATTTTAACCAAAGCTGAAGCAAAATAAAAATCTTTCCTTGGACCAAGATGATTCAGACTGAAGGAGATATGACAGAAATTTACAGGCGCACACATCACTGGAGGAAGTGAGATCTCTCCACTTCTTTTCTCCCAATTTTACTTCACTTCTCCCATTTCTATCATTTATTAATTTTATTATTTAAAAGAATTATTTAATAAAAAATTTTAAATGATGGGAATGGAAGAAGTGGAGGAAAAGAGAGAAAAAAAAAATGAAGAGACCCTGATCCCATCACTAGAGCACCGTTTTCTCTTACTCATGATATTTATACTAAAATTAATAAAATAAATCACAATATTTTATTATAAATTTATTTTACATTAATTTTTTTTTTAAGTTATTACAGTTTCCAAGGAGAGGACAATGGTTAAGGTGAAGTAGTACCTTTTTATATAGAACGCTGCGCCGGAGGAGGAAGTGCTGGAGGATCAACCAAGAAGCACAGCAACGAAGTGGGAGGAGGAACAGAGGAGCACGGCCGCGTCACGAGAGGAAGATAGAGGCTCGTCGCGAAGTGCAGATAGCGTCAATCAACTGCAGACAGCGGCACGCGCACGGAGGAAGAATCATAAATGAATTGATGAAGTGCAGATAGGTCAATGAATTTTGGTTTAGTTGACCTTGTGATTTTTTTTTTTTTTTTTTTGCATTAGTGTTGGACACTAATTCTGGCGGGAAAGTACTGGAAAAAAAAGCGGGGGAGGGAATGATCAAGAATTGGGGCCTAACACTGTAATGCATATTTTATCCCCCAAAAAATATTTTGGAAAAGAAGAATGTTACGATAAAAAATTTGAAAATATTAACAAAATATAAATTTTTTATAAAAAGAAATAAAAAAGAATACAAATATTTCACTAATTATTTTAATTTAAATTTAATTAGGTATAAAATTAACTTGTTAATTTTTTTTTATTTTAAAGAGGCATAAATATGTCTTACTATTTTTCTTACTAATTATCTTATGTTAGAGATAAATTTATAATCTCTCACTATTTTTCTTGTTAATAAATTTATTTTAGAAAAAAATAAATATTTTTAACTATTTTTCTCGCTAATTATTTTATGTTAGAGAGGAATAAATATCCCTCACTATTTTTCTTACTATTATATTATTTTAGAAGAAAATTGACAGTCGCTCATTATTTTTTTCATTAATTATTTTATTTTAAAGAGGAATTAATTGTCTCTCGTTATTTTTCCTCACTAATTTGGCATTTTCAAAAAAGATAGAAAATCTCCTGTTAAATTTTCTCATTAATTTGTATTTTTCTAGTAGTGTATAAAAAATAAACAACTTCCTTGATTTAATTAGTATTATCAGTCAAGTATATCCAATTCCATAAACTTTCTTCACTCAAACATTTCATCTAACACTTTATATGTACCAAAAATCTAACATAAGAACAACAAACTTGGACATATAATTATGAAGCAAAATACCTTTTTTCAAAATTTTCTACCGTTAGTTCCAACCTTTAATTATAGATAATAACTATCTTCTATAATAATTTAGTTAACAATAATATATTTCTCATATTTATTTGCTATCCTAGATTAAAATTCTTCTATCAAACAACTTATCAAATATCTTGTGTACATTCATATCAAACCACAATCATCATCAATTAAATTTAATATTCTTCTCAGATTGAATTCCTTGCCAAGAATCAATTTCAACTTAAAAAAAAAAACAATTTAAACCTCCCCATTTTTTTATTAAGTAAAAGAGGAGTGCAAATGCAGCAAACAACACTATTTTATAAAATAAAATACTAGGCAATATGATAAGAACAAAAGCACTTAGCACAATTAAATAAGAAAATGCAATACGAGAAGCTTTAGCTAAAACTTCATTCATTCACTAACAGGTGCACCAATCCATGCTTATTTTTTTAAACCCAAGAAGAAAATTAAAGTAGAATCGTTTATCAAAACTCATGCTCTTTAAACTTAATTTTTGATTTTCCTGGATCCAAACTACTCTTTAATTTACGCAACAAGCAAGAACAATGAGGGAGAATCAGTCTTTCTATTTCTTTTACAATAACCTATTCAACAACCACAACTACATCAATCTGAAACGAGGGAGGGAACAAATGAAGCTTGAACCCACCAACAAGCAAAGGAGAAATGGAAAGAAAGAATCCAACCCTTCCACTCACCCAAGACAGTAACAACGCAGAACAAAGATACAGAGAAGGAAAGCACACAACGCTAAAACAGAGGAGAAAGAAGAAATTAGGAGCTTACAGAGCCCTTCGCAACAGCGGATAGCACACCCACGATTGTTGGAAATAGGTGATTAAAATAGAGGACAAAAGATGGTACACCGAACTCTCACTCTCTCCCCTTGGTTCTGGAACAATCGCAAATGGGGAAGGAAAAATGTGAAAGTTGATGCCTGCGGGGCTTTCTTATTATTGTCATTTTGGTAATTTCATGAGGTTTGGCCAAAATAAATAAAATGCTTCACTTGGGCAAAAAGTGATTCAAACCCAAAATCCGAAGGGCATTTAGCAAATAAAGTTACCACTAAACCACTAATAAATCTTATTAAATTTTCTCTCAAAAATTAATAAAATATACTTAGTTACTTTATTATTTACTCTAACTTTGTAAATATATTCTGAGTTTTTAATTTTTTTTCTAATTGTTGGCCCCTTTTTTTTACAATTGTTGATTTATTTGGTCCATTAATTATTTATTACATATTTTAAAAATTCTTAAATTTCCAGGTCATTACACTTCTTGTGGCTTTCTCTTCATAATAAACTTTTGACAAATGAGGCTTAGAAAAATTGAGGCATGAGTGCTTTAGCTTCTTATGTATGGTGCAATCATGATTTAGAGGATTCCCTTCATGTTTTCTGAAATTGTGATGAGGTTAAGTTCCTATGACTTTTTATTACAAAACGGGTCTTATCTCAAGTTTGTTTTAGTTGTAACCTTTGGAATTGGTGCTCTCTGAGCATCAATGCAATGGTGTGGAAATGATGTATATGATTGAAAGGAATTATTTTGTGATTACTTGCTAGCTCTTCTAGAAATGAAGATAGGAAATTTTTTTTTTTAAATATCATTGTTGGCCATCAACACATACATATATGAAGGCTAAAGCTATTGTTTTTAGCTAAAAGGATGCCCATGTAAACTTGAGACAAGTTAAGTTTCATGGATCCACTATTACAAATTAAAAAAAAAACACTTTTAACATTGCTTTTTTAAATCCTTTTCACATCTCTATTGAAAGAAACGGGACATAAAAAGTTAGCTATCCGCATCACTTTTAGGAGAGACAAGGATAAGATGTTTCACATCACTTTTAAATTCAAAGTAACATGATTTCTCAACTTTTCACCTAACTTTTGAATCATAAATGACGTGATTTCTCAACTTTTCATTTAAAAATGACATAGAGAATAGACTTTCTATGTCACTTTTTCTTAAAAACTTAGGTAAAAATTCTAGCTTTTATTCAAAAAAAAAAGGCATTTTTTTGGATTGAAAATGATTTAAAATCACTCTCAATCTAAAAAAAATACCCTATAGTGTTTAATGGACTAGTGCTTGTGTCAATCAAGACATTCAACAATGAATACTAGCACAGATTAATAACAATTAAAAGAAATAAAATAAACCTCACCTTGTGGATAGATTCAAGTTCCTCGAGAGCAGATGGTGCTTTAGGCACCTTAACTGTACCAGGAGTAAATATTTCCCGAAGCTGAACAAGGCCTTTCTTAGCATAAGTCTCCGCAAACTGGTTGACAAAAAATATATAGTCACTTTTATGCCCTTCAATCTGATGTCAATGCATCTCATAAAGAAAGATTGATTACCTGTGTAAAGGCCTCGAGACGAAATTTCATCATCTATGTCAACTGGACCAAATATCACAAGTATTAGTTAAAAGAAAAGAGATAAGAAACGTGCGGACACCCTAATTTGTTCACTCTGACTCTTTCAATTCATAGAAGTCGAAATGACATTAGAAATCTTGGTAAATTTTTTGAAGAAAAAAAGTATACCTTATGCAAAACAGATATTTTTCATGCAATCCAAATGGGAACTCATCAATAATAGCAGCGACTTTCTGATGACAGCAATTCCAAACAATATCCACATCACAACGAAAAGGAGATCAGTGAACATTTAAATAAAAGGAAGCAATCAAAATGATAATAAGTAATGAAACGTCAACATAAAATGTCCTTGATTAAACGGCAAGGTGCTATAATTAAACATACCAATAATCTTTGCAATTAACAATGAAATAATTTTCTGATAATTTGGCATTGTCTAAAAAATACTCCTGCAACAAAAAAGGAAAAAAAAAATTGATAAGAACATAGTACAATCACATCTTCAAGTTTGCACAAGGGCCGTGTCTGTCAGAACTTAAACTTGATGGCTATTTGCATCTTAACGTCACTACAAATCTTCAAGTTTGACATCTGATAGATAAAGGGTACAAATAGTTGACTTCATCATGGTATGTCAGTTGTACAACCAAACTACCAATCACAAGTCCATGATCTGATAGCAGTGGACCACAATTAGAAAGGAATTGCTCGCACAAATCATCACCCCATAAAAATATCAAGCGTGTTAAAGATTACCTACAGGAAGCTAGAGTATATCCCATAAGAATTATATGAATTACAAGAAAAAGGCGTACGAAAACAAAATGAAGAAGAATTACATGAACGAGAGGGAATATCCCATAAGTCATAACTAGACAAAGCTATACAAATTAAGGGAAACTAAAGGGGCAGGCAAAATAGCTGTTGTATCAGTATCTGAATCACATCTGACTTGGATCGAATCAGGGAACAAATGAGCGGGAATAATCCCATAAAATTAAGGTGAGATACCAAAAAATTTACCAATTGAGATAAATGATAATAACTGCCAACACTGTCAAATTTCTCGCTTAAGAATAGAAATTTCAGATTTAAATAAAGAATCAATGAGAATAACATGCAAATTATTAGGCTATTATGCCAACCTACCAGTATCTATGTGAAACTATCTTTGGGGTGTAAACGTGAATGTATGTGCATGAAAAAGTATATATCACAACAAAAATCAGCAATAGAAGATCTGAAATCAAGTTAGCAAAGCATAAATCAAGATTTAAATCTATTACCAGCTTTTCATTTCTTGTCATGGTTATATGCTTGGCATGAGGTGCTTTGAAGGATACCCCTAATGTGGGGGATGGAGAATTTAATGATGAATGAAGCAAGGGTAGATCCTCTGCATCAAAGCATGTTACTTCCTCAGTGGGAAACTTGGACCCATATCTACCAGCTCTCCCTGCAAACAGTTGGATAAAAAATGAGCAAAAGGCCAAAAAAAAAAAAAAAGACATGCAGGATATTAGATCAGACATTTAAACTTGAAAATAGATGAGACACTAGTAATATTTAAAGAATCTTAAAGGATGTAAACTCTATAACATATTAAATGCACCCTAAATATATAAATTAAATTCGGCCCAAAAGGTCACTCTTTGTTCGTGTGGTGAGTCAAGATCAACACCACTCAGCATCCGACTTCATGATGGCATTACCAGACATGTGTCTTCAACTCCACGTGGCTCTGCTTCCATAACATCATCAAAGGCACACCCATGTAAAAGTATTTTTTTTCCACCGTTCAACTTCGTTCTCCAGTATAATTGCTTATTTGGTACAAATAGGTCAAGATCAATATCATTTGTAATTATATTAGTTTGTTGCAGCAAAAATAATTTATGAATTCAGTTGCTAGGAAAAAAAATATATCATTTAAAGTTTCTTACAAAAATGGCTTCAGCGGAACTTGGTGGCAACACAATAGCAGGGCTTTGACGAGCAGCAACAACAACGAGCTAGAGGTAGACGACCGAGGACGAGATAAGATCAGCGACAGCGAGTTTAGTGCGTCAGATCTGGTCTGGGGGAGGCATCGAGCTTCAGGAGAGACGAGCTTGAGCAACGACAACAAGCTTAGTGCAGCAAATCTGGTTAGAACAGCTACGCCGAGGTTGTTGTCAAGCTGGAGGAGAACGACGACGAAGTTGCTGAAGTGAAGCTGGTGGAGAATGGAGATGACGAGTTTGCTTGGAGAGAACGAAGGTTTAGAATAGAATGAGGAATTGATGGAATGAGGAGATCGACCTAGAGCCATTAAAGTGGAGAAAGTGAAGGGCTATCAACGTCGTTTCTCACAAAATAAGGGACGTGGTTTTTATTAATTTTTCTAAAAAGAAGTGACATTAGTTTTAAGTTTCCAAGTCAGGCATTTAAAAAGTGACGTGGACATCATAACCTAAGTCATTTTTTCATTAAGTGACGCTAATATGTATAGTGAATCCACGTCACTTGCAAAAAAGCAACGTGCATACAACTAACCATGTCATCTTTTTTTTTTTGAAAAGCAACATAGATATGTTTTCAAATTCATCATTTAATTATGAAATTATCATCACTTCAACTTTTTTACCTCCTATTTTTAGAAAGTGATGTGAATTGAGGGTGGTAAATATATATTTTATAATAGTGATCCATGAGGCATGAGGGAAATCTTACTATACTTAAGATTGATTACGATACATGTTGATGGAGCATATTCTCATCTTAGTGTAGATTAGAGCTATTGGGGTATCATTGGAGATCATCAACAATTTTCTTTCAAATCTTTTATGCTTAAATTCTAGAAAGGAGATCCTCTTATTGCTCAACTTTGAACTTGTCTTGTTGGGCTTTGTTGAGCTGGGGATGGGGGCCATTGAATGGTCTGTCTAAGAAGAGACTCTCTAAAGACCCTTAAGTTGATCAAGGACGAAAAATGATATTCATGATAATTGGAGCTTGATCCATGAATGCCACAACACTCCCTCATGATTGGATGGGGGAGCTTAGACATGGCCCAGGAGATGAAAATGTGGAAGGTGATTGTCTTGCAAAATGAGCACCAGCACTATCTCTAGGTCTTCACTTTTTACCTATTGAGGATCTTAGTTTTCTTTCTTGCATAGTGGAGTAGCTGATTTTAGCTTTCTTCGTTTATCAAAAAAAGGAAAAAAAGAAAAAAGTAGTTAACCTTTTCCACATAAAAAATAGATTTCTAATATTGCGTAACAAGCTAATATTGATTGTTTCTCTAAAAGTTAGCATCCTATAACATATATACCGTAGAAATATCTTTGTATAATTTCTAGGGTGATTTTGAAAGTGATACCTCCAAGTTAAAATTTCGTTGGAACTATAATAAATCATTTTTTTTTATTTCTCTCAACGATGGCATGGAAAATTACCTTGTTCATCGCATATTGTGATCCTCATTGTTGATATATTGATGATTATACATATTACACCCCAATACTAAAATCGTCACCAACACAAAATATGGGATAAACTTATATTTCATAAACTTTATTTAACAAGAAAATTAATTCAGAATAATAATATATAATTTATATCTAAATTTGACATTAGTAAAGTTTTAACCATCATGTAAAAAGTTCGACAAAATCTCTCTTATAATTAAAATCTCTCAAAATTTTTACAATAATAAAACCTCTCAACGAAGCCAGAAAAGATCTTTGCTCCACACTAGCAAATTTTCACAATAATAAAATAAGATTAAGATCTAACTATGATATACGTGGAGTGCTAAGTTAATATTTCATAATACAAAATAATAAAATTTTTACAATAATAAATAAGTTAATATTTCATTTTTTTTATTTCTCTCAACGATGGCATGGAAAATTACCTTGTTCATCGCATATTGTGATCCTCATTGTTGATATATTGATGATTATACATATTATACTCCAATACTAAGATCGTCACCAACACGAAATATGAGATAAACTTATATTTCATAAACTTTAATTAACAAGAAAATTAATTCAGAATAATAATATATAATTTATATCTAAATTTGACATTAGTAAAGTTTTAACCATCATGTAAAAAGTTTGGCAAAATCTCTCTTATAATTAAGATCTCTCAAAATTTTTACAATAATAAAACCTCTCAGCGAAGCCAAAAAGAATCTTTGCTCCACACTAGCAGATTTTCACAATAATAAAATAAAGTTTAGATCTAACTATGATATACGTGGAGTGCTAAGTTAATATTTCATAATACAAAATATATTTACGTCAAAATTAACTAACACATGCTTCCATAGTTCCAAAAAGAAATTGTATCTCTCAATGATAAGCAGAAAATGTAGGGTCAATTTCAATATATGCGACCAAATAAAATTTCTCCAATAAGTAGTGTCCCGATTACAGTTAAAGGAAATAATAAAAATAAAATTAATAAATTAATTATAAATTTACTAAAATCAACAATTGAAAATTATATAAACCATAAATACATAAATACAAATAAAAATTATTAAAATTTGAAAGTATTAAATTTTTACACATACTTAAACATTTTGGGATATATATATATATATGCTACTCAATATAAATTTTATGTAAAGTAAAAATAGCAATTTGTTTTATGAAATAAAATTTAAAGAAAATAATTTTAAATTTTTTTTAGTAGAACTTAATTAGAATGATTAATAAATGTGAATACATAACCACGAGAGTAAATAACTAACAAGCATGGAGACACAATCCATGAAAATAAGTCATCAACAAATACAGCTTAAAGCCACAAAATAATCAAGCGTGGCTAAAAATCACAAAACAAGCGTGAATACAATACTTACGAATATTCATCCTTCTTTGCACGTGCATTGGCCTATGCACGGGGCTAACATCTTCTACAATCACCCTGCTAGTTAGGTGCATCATGGCACGTCAAGAGTTAATGAAACTATCATTACCATCCAACATTCTAAACTCAGTCCCTCTTATTAAAATCAAGCGTACATGAAGTTGAAACATTCATTTAAAATTATTTCTTTCAAAATATGATATTTAGCTATCAAATTTTCTTTTCAAATGTCTCCCAATGTACAAATCACCACGTTAACCACTGTCATATAAATTATAAAATTTAAACAATAAAAATACTTAAAATAAATAATCAGTTAATAATTAATATGTCAGATCTAAATATTCCTTAACAATAGCACAATTTCTAATGAAAATAAAGCAAATTCTATGATGAACCAATTATTATAAAAGTGAGGTAAGTAAGAAGAATTGTATAAATCATAAAATACAATGAACAAAAATATTTATACAACTTAAAAAGAAATAATATCAAAAAATTTAAATAAAATTTTTTTTATAAACACTTTACAAAAAATTATCTAGGACACCACCCACTCACCTGAGAGTTTTTCAATAATTTTAAAGCTTGCTTTACTTTAATTTATCACTTAATTCCAAGAGTGCCATTAATTTTTCTAATAAATCAATCACAATTCAAAGATTACTTATTCACTCTTTTCTTAATATAAATAAGTAAGTGCTTTAATACCCTAATCGTCAACGATAAACAAAATTCGTTTTACTCTAATAAGTCCTCTACCTCATTCAATATCACTTGTCAACTAATTCATCAAACAATTATTGACATTCAAATTAATTCTAAATAACATCACAACCATACATGTTCAACTAATAATTTCCTTATCATATTATTAACTTAACAATAACCCAACTAAAATAATAGAAGACCTTTCAATTCCTTTTATACCTTTTTAAAGCATAATAAAATGTCATAACCATTACTTAACATTACTTTCCTTAAGTGCCTCAAGATGTCAATTTAATAGCTCAAGCCACCACTTACACATATTCCTTTAAAACTAATAATGTGGAAATTGAACCATTTGCATTTTTGTCAAATTTTCTATCATACATTTTTACAAACACTTTGAGTGTATCAAGCTTCAATTTACAATAAGCATCTAACAAGACTCTAATACTTTCTTCAATCCAACTCCAATTCCTTCCTCAAACATTTCAACAAACACTCCCATCTACATTCTAATGTAAGTTAAGAAACAAGCACATTGATATAAAATAAATAACCCTACTTTCAAGATCAAATGTAATTTCTTAAAGTTTTCTCAACATCAACATAAACTTTTAAACTAGAATATAAATTTCGTCTTTCTTATCAATGAATTCCAGATTTAATTATATTAATCCATTAACACTTTATTCCTTTCTTTAAGCATTAAAAAAAAAATCTTGGTAACATTCACATACTGAAATTTCATCAGTATCAATCTCCCCTCATCATTTAATTTCGAAGTCAAATTCCCATGTACTATTCAAACATCATGAATAATACAAAATATTCTAAAATAAATCTCAACAAGCCTTTGAATCACATTTGAAAAGAAACTAAAATCATCAACAAAAAATCTTAAAATTTTCAATAAGTACTATGCTTACACATGCTCCTCCAAGATAAACATGAAAACTTAATAACATTTATTCACTAAATTCTTCTCTAAAAAATCTTGACAAACACCTAGAGAATATTCATCAAAGTTCGGTCCTCAACGAGCCTCCAACAATTTAATCATCTTTCCATGTTAAATTTATTGTCAATATTCAGTTTGGCATCCCAATAAAATTATATACAGCAGCAACCAAATCAATTCAACTCCTCAATTTCTGAAGAATTCATGGCAGCCATAAAACAAAAACAAGGGCAGAATCTTCGATCAAAAGAGAAGAAAACAAGAAGCTTACCACATGCATACACGATGACCAGAACTGAGGAGGAAGAAAAGTTGAAGATGACACACATACACACGCCAACACAAATCAGGAAAAGAACAGAGGGGAACGACAGGGGAGGAGTATTCGGTGACTCCACCCTCACAGCAGCTGGCGACGTGAATGGAGAAAAGAGCAGCGGACGAACACGGCGGCAAAGAAGGAAGTCGACGGCGAGGTACAGAGAAGCAGATCGACGGTGAAGAGAAGGAAAATTTTATACGCTCTCGCTATCACTTTCACAGGTTCTGTAGTTCAAAAAAGAGAAGCAGAAGGAAAAATCTGATGACTCTAAGGCGGAGATGCGACGGCGAGAAGGAGCACAGACCAACGGTGAGTAGCTGAAACCGATGAGGGGGACCAGAGAATGGATTGATGGTGAAGAATCCAGAAGAATACAATGGCGGTGGAGAGAATAAGAGAGGTAAAAATGGGGAAAGCCGATGCTCTGTTTCTACGCATAATAGAGAAATAAAAATTTGGACAAAATAAAAATGGAAAACTTACAAGAAAGGTCCGAGGAAAATTACAAAAATGGCATAAGAAAAATTACAAGGAAAGCCCAAAAATTTTCTATAATTTAAAACAAAATAAGATCAAAATTTATTTATTATTTATTTTTTGTTTAGTAAAATTTAAACTCTAAACTTTTAAAAATATTACTAGTATAAGTTTTGCTTAAACTATTATTTTTCACTTGCTATAAAATTAATTTAAATAAATATTAATTAAGTAAAATTTTTTTAAATTTAGGTCATTACAATATATGTGGGGCAAAGCAGGCAACAAATATTTCTTATTTCTCTCAAAAGGAGTCAATTCCAACTGTTTAATCATGCATATTAATGCATTTTTTCTATCTGAAAGCAGGGTTCATCTACGTTAAGTGATGTTAACCTCTTCACTAGCCTGCAATTGGGATTCTTTGCCCATTTTGATGAGCTTGTTTAAAACATTTCAAACTTAATTTTGTTTTCTTAATCATTCAATCACCTAATTCATTATTTTCGTACCATTAGAATGCCTTTAATTGGAATCTATTATAGACACATTGCATTTTTATTTGGAAAGATGTTATATGCATGATTGTTTTAAGATTGATTTTTACTGTGTGCAGCAATCTGGTTCTATAACCCCCTGTTTTAATTGTTTTATTTTGCATTAAATGTTTAGAAAATTATTCTTAAATAATCATGTATCAGTTTCACGTGAAAATCGACATAGGTTGCACCACTACACTACCAATTTTCAACTTTTTTGAGTAACTATCAAATAGGATGAGTGTATGTTCTAAGAAGATGATAGATAATTAGTAATTCCAAGTTAATCTTTTGAAAAGAATTGTAGAGCCAGCGGCTTGGATACCTTAATTGCCATGTGTTAGAAATTTATATGTGGGCTTGCATTGATTATTTTTATTGATTTGTGAAAACAGGTTAATTGGTGGTCCTGCCTGAATTTTTAAAGCCCATTTAATGTGATATGATCACATACTTGATGGGCCTGACACACAATCTAGTGGTGGCTCCCCTCTTTAAACCTAACTTGGTGTGTGCTTCCCCACCAAAAGTTGCATAACTCTCAAACCTCGAGGTAAATAAGCAAGAAGACATTGGTTGACTAGCTCATGCAACTTGGCGACTATAATCGAATCAAGTATGCAACTCAAACTTATGTATTTGTTTAGTTTCTTGTCACATACACTAGATTTGCCTTATCTAATGTTTTAATTAGGTCTTACACAATATGTTCATATTTTACTTATGTTCAGTTCAAATTAAGCAAACGTGTAAAATTAATACTTAGTTAGAGTATTTGCATTAAATTCTTATTAGAATGATATTCCACTCATCAATTTGATACGATTATCTTTGCACTTGCAGTACTATATTGGAAACCCAAGTCTAACTGGATAATACACTTTTGTATAATGAGCCATATGGCCATATTTAGTACATAATTTGGCATGCCTAATAGTCAGACTGAGGAAATAAACTTGGGCTATCAGACTTTATATAACCCAACAATCAAATCAAGAAAACAAGAAAGTACACAAAAGTAAAAAAACATTCTAAACTTATACTAAAAGGATTAAAAAAAATACATCCAGACCTATATAAAAGTACATCCAACCCATATAGAGTCTAGATAAGGGAAAATTATTTCTCAACACTCCTCTTCAAGTTAGACTTGAAAATATTTTAAGGTACACAAATTGGACAATAATCTATCGTGACTCGTTTTTCCAAGAGCCTTTGTTACTATATCTACCAGCCTTTCTCCACATGTCATATGCTTTAGAGAAATCAATGGCTTGTTTGAAACTGTTTTTGTTTTATTCTTTTGAGAACTGATGTTTTATAGAATATGTTTTGAGAACAAAATAAAAATAAAAATAAGTGTTTTTCTCATATTTTTTATTTTCAAAATAATAATCCCAAAACACCTAACAAATGTATACATTTTTCTATTCTCCAAAATAATATTTTTTTTATTTTCCAAAACACTTATTTAAACCATATTACTAATTTTTTTTTATTCTGAAGAATAAAAAACAGTTTTCAAAATAGGTTGCCAAACAGGCCCCAAGCCTTCCTACAACCTTTCTCACACAAAATGACAGTCGATCTCTATGTGATTCGTTCTTTCATGATAGATCAGATTTGAAGCTATTTGCGTTGTAGCCTTGCTGTCATAATACACAGAAACATGAGCTAAGTTAGCAATATGCAATTCTTTCAATAAACTATTCAACCAAATAATATCAAAAACAATACTCCCCATGGCCTTGTATTCTATCTCAGTAGAGGGTCTTGAGACATTGAACTATCTAACTTGATTAGATACCCTGTGATAAACCTACGAGAGTCAAGACAAGAGGCCCATTCAAAATCACAATACCCTTCTAATTTCATGTTACTTGAAGAAGGAAAAATATATCTTTACCTCGATCCTTTTCCAAATTTTCACAGTATTCAAATTAGCTTTAAGATGGGATTTTTATCAAAATTTACATGAATTGACTCAATAGTTGGACAACATAACTAATATCAAGCCTAGTATTAGTCAAATATAATATTTTTCCTATTAGACGCCTATATCTAGATGGATCAGCTAATAAATTATCTTTCTCCCCCTTTCTAGGAAGACTGTAAAGCTTTAAAACCTGGGTTCATTGGCATATTCCTAGGTCTATAAGTACCAAGTCTTGTGGTGGCAATTAAATCTAATGCATATTTTCATTGATTAAGAATCAAGCCTTCGTTAGACTTGGCATCTTTATTCCTAGGAAATATTTCAATTAACCTAAGACTTCCATTTTAAAACTGATGTGCATATATCTCTTTGTTTCTTTTATTCCTCTATTACTATTTCCAATTATGACTATATCATCTATAGATGCCAATATAATAGTAAACTCATTTTCGTGTCTTTGAGTAAATAAAAAATAATCAAATTACTTTGCACAAAACCTTCAACAAGAAAAGCCTCACAAAGTTTTTGTATTTCTACTGTTGTGTAGCCTGCTTCAACCCATAAAGGGGCTTAGTCAGTATACACACCTTCTTCTCTCCTTTCTTGTTAAATCCTGGAGGGATTTTCATATAGATATCTTCATTGAGATCTCCCTACAAGAAAGCATGGTCAGCATCCATTTGAAATCCCAACAATTTCTAGCAATTATAGACAACACAAAGCACACAATATTTATTTAACAATAGATGAAAAAGTCTCAAAATAATTATTGCCTTCTATTGACCATACCTTTAACAACAAGTGCTAGACCCCAATTCTTAGGGTATGACTAGCATAACATGAGATAAAGTTACATTCCATTAGTCTTACTTAACCAGAGATTAAGCTAAAATATCGATAAATAATTTATATATATATATATATAGTTATAAAATTTGTAAAGTCTTAAACATTTTAATAAAATTTAACAAAGTTTCTCTTTAATTTGAATCTCTCAAATTTCTACAATAGCAAAACCTATCAAACTAATTCAAAAAGGAGCTTAGCTCCATATCAATAGAATTCACAATAAAAAATATAATTAGGACTTAACTATGATATATGTGAAGCATTAAATTGTAATTGTATAATATAATACATAATTACATCAATATAAATGGTCAATGTGTGCTCCCATTCCAAAAGCATTTATGTCCCTCAATGATTAGCAGGAGAACACAGGGTTAATTTTAATATCTGAGACTAAAAAATTTTTTTATGATGAGTAACATCCCAATTAAATTAAAATTAAAATTTTGGATAAATCATGTAAAAGTAGTAATTAATAACATTTAGTTTAAAACAAATTAATGAAAATTAAAACAAATTTTAACCAATAATAAATGACAAAGTTGCTCAACAATATAAACATAAAATAAACCAATAATTTTAAAATTTTAGGTTATCAAGGATCATATAACTCATAAAAATATATAAAAGGAATTCAAATAAAAATAAAGTTTGTAAATAACTAATATAAAACAATAAATTTTTAATTTCAGTCTAGGAGAAAATTTACCATATAAAATCATATACGATCAAATAATAGTTTATTTAATAAAAGAAATTTAAAATAATAAGTTTTCAAAAATTCACATTTAGTGGTACCTTATCAAAATGATTAATAAGTGTGAAAATACAGTCCATAAAGGTAAGTAACCGACAAGTGCAGCTCGAAACCACAATTACAAGCACGAGAACAAATGCCACGAAATCAAGTGCAAGCACAAGGCCCATAAAAACAAGCGTGAATACTATACTTTACAAATAATCATCCCCTAGTCCGCGTGTGTTGGTTGTAGTAAGGGGTTAGCCCTCCTAAGTACCATGCTAGCTAGGGTATATTGCACGCCAAGAGCTAATAAAACTATTATTAGTATTCAACATTTTGAACTCAATCCCTCTAACTAAAATCAAGCATGCATGGAGTTAAAAAAATAATTTCAAATTTTTCATTTCAAAATATACGATTCAATTGTTATCTTTCATTCCCATACTCATTTTCATATCCTCCATGCATGAGTTGTTGTATCAAAAATTTTCATATCAAACATAGAATTAAACAATTAAGTTGATTTTGAAAAGTAATTCTATTTATCGTATTTCTACTTCAATCATTACTTATTACTAGCAAAAATCATCAGTATCAACATATTATCATAATAAAATAAGTATTATAAAAAAAAATTACGAGAAGGTTTATATAACTTATAAAGAAATAATATTAAAAATTTAAGTAAACAAATTTTATAAAACAGTTTACCAAAATTCATTCAAGACACTACCCACTCATTTTACATATTTCCAAGTATCATTATAACTTTAAGTTTCTCACTTATACTTCGTTAGTGCTTCTAATTACTTAATCTAACAAACCAACAAGCTAATAATACTAAACTTTCCAAGCTATAACTCCATCTATTTATG